ATGTTTGGGGGCTTATTGCCTAGGGAAACACCGTGTGGAAAAGTGACGACGTGACCGGCTCTGCGTCCTCTTCACACGTTTTTGCGCCTTTGGCGGCGTTCGACGTTTGCTTTTATAGTCGCCGACGGATGCGACACTTGGCAGCCAGTCGCCACTCGCCACTTGCCGGGTGTCCCTGCCCGGTCCCAGCCCATTGACAATGTCAATGTCTGTGTCTGTCGCATCGCTTGCCAAGTTAATTGACCAAATGTATTCGATTCGCCTTCGATTTGCATTTAATTGTGTCTATTTTTATGTCTCTGACCACAATCAAAGCGGAAGCTCATTGTGTGAGTTGCTTTTTTTTTTCTCTCTGTCTGTTTTGCCGGGGTGTTGGGTTGCGCCCAGTTTAAAAGGCGTTTCCAAACCAGCCGCTCGGGAATCAGCCAAGCAGCTCCGTTTAAGCCAAGTCCAGTTCTCGCACACCTCGCTGAGCAGCAGCAGCAACGGCAACGGCAACAGCAGCCGAAGCGGTGGCCAGTTCTTAAAGTGCTAACAAGTCCAAAGCGAATGTCCAAGCGGTTGGATTTCACTGACCTCAATCGGCGACTAGTGACAATGCAACTACCAACAATGACTGCAACCGGATACCCTGTGCCTAGCTAAGCAGCATACTTTTGCGATAAACCAACCGCCCACACAGTCCGGGAAATGGGAAATACATTCCTCATTAACTGCGAAGCATATAGTCTGAACTTTATAAAAAGTGCACGCCTTAAATAAGGCACACAAAAGACACTCACTTTTTGGTGGGAATGTTGGATGGTATCAAAAAAGTAAAATATTCTAGCTCTGTTTACGCTAAATCTAGCTTTTATCTAGCTTTTATAAGCTTCGAGATATGCTAAAAAAAAAAACAAAATTCCATTAAAGATTTTTATCCATTTCATGGAATAGCTGGAAGTTATCCATGATTTGTGCAAGTCATGCAAAAAGCTAGGTTCAAAATTTTCAAGACTCTGACTCTGAAGGCCTCCGAGATCGTAGCGAATGCTGAGCACGAATGTGTATTTCTTACAGGCACGGGAAAGGCTACTTCAGCCTGTCACAAGTATTTGCACAAAACCATCATGCCTTTCCACCCATTATCAATGGGCTTAGGGTAGAAAAAATATGTGATTTCAAGCAGTTATATTCGAATTACAAGAAGAATCCGTATACTAATCTCTGGCCGAGAGACCCTACCGAGAGTCTGACATGCCTTGAGATGCACCATATCATACGTCATCCATACCCCATTTTGAATGCGTACAGGGTATAACAAGCGAGACCAAAACTGAAGCTCCCAACGGCAACTGCCGAGACTCAAATGCGGATTTTACTGGCTGCTGCTGTTGTTCGTCGTCTTTTGAATTATTCATTTGTGCAAAAACAACAAAAGACCCATAAAAACCGAGATGGTCAGCAGGCAGGTTAACTGAAAAACAGACGCCAACTACCAACAACCAGCTACCGACTACGAGCGGCCAGCTGCCAAATGCCAAATGGCAAAAGGCAATGACAAGTTGCCTAATTACCGCAGCTTCTCTTGGCCGCAGCAGCAACGAGCGTTAAGTAAATTTGTCCCGCCGCGTGCTGGTCTTGGCCAACTTAATGCGCATACCTTAAGCCCCCGCCAGCCCCTTCCCCTTCCAACACAGGTTAAGCCCTGGTATATATCCTGCAAAGTCTGCGATTTGCATCGGCGACAATTGCTTTGGCCCTATTCCTGTGCTCAGCGCACAATTGTGTCGAAGATTTAGTGTGCACTTTGGGCCCGCATTTACATAACGCATACGCAACGTGGTACGTGGGCAACTGGCAACTGGCAACTGGGAACTGACTTTCAAGTGACTTTATTAGCTACGCAAAGCCCACAGGACCTAGCTTTGCATATGCTACTTCAGCTGTTCTTCAGTCGAACTTGTGTCGAAGCAGAACGAGATTTATGCGGCTGAATAAAATGTGTAATAAATGAAATACGAAAAAATGCCTAAGGGCAGATATTAAAAAACAAAATAAACTCAGAGCAAGGCTGATTTCTAATTAAATTTGTGTGAGCTCTAATTGCCCAGCTAGTATAGTTAAAGGAACACAGTTTAAAAAAAAAAACCCAAATTGAAAATAAAAACTTAAATTTAACAGCTCTTAGCTAATTCTCATTAATTACTTTATATATATACATATCCGAACCCATAAATGATATATATTCTAGATCAGCATCAACAGCTTAGTTGATATCCGTCTGTCTGTCCGGCTGTCCGTCTGTCTCTTTTTATGGGAACCAGTTCCTCAGTTATACAACTATCCGTCCTTCTGTTGCAGGCAACATATGTATATATCGGAACGGGCAGACTCTCAGCAATATATCAGCACTATCTGTTATAAAACGATTGCCTAACGATTGGCACGAAATTGTTTGAATAACTCTATTGTTTATCAAAATATCTAAACCGAATTTATATGAAAACATATGAAAAATCTTATCAAAATCGAACCACCATATCATATAGCTGCTGTTTATATATTCTGTTTTAAAAGAGTTTCTCACTTGTGCCGAAGGTATCCTTTTATATGAAATCGTTTTTAATTAATATTTTTTTTAAAAATAGACGCATATTCGATATGAACCTTTACTCCCATGATATGTACATGAAACGCAAGGCAAAAGGTTCCCTTATAGGTAATATTCCTGAACACACTCTCAGCTAAAAGTTTACAATGAGAATATAAACATCTCTGAACAAAGCTATAAAGAAGAAAAAAAATTATAATAATATATAAAAATTAAGTAATTATGAGACCAATGAATAATAAGTAATAAATTATAAATAATTCTGATGAATTTTAAAACTTACCCATTATATATGCAGAATTCGCCCCTGTACTCAGCTTGGATCCGATTGAGAAACACGTGATTTACAGTTTTTATTTAAAGCCGTTTTAATTTATAATTCTTTAGTAGTGATACGCCCAATATATATATTTGTATATATATATATTTAATTTGTTGTTGGATTAAACATGGCATACAGTTGGAATTGTTGTTGCTGGCTGCCAAAGTTTGTTAAAACCGAATCCGACGGCAAAATACTCTGCCCCGTTTGCTCTGCACACGTACCCGAGTTTCAATTAATTTCCATTTAAATTGTATATATAATTTTTATATATATATATATATGTATATTGTGAATTTCAAATGTTGTTGTATATGTAGCATATACTCGTATATATGTACTATAAGTGGAGTTAGCTCAACAATATAGATTTGCTAATACTTGGATTTAGCTTCGGCATTTACTGTGTGCAGCTATATAGTTGGTTTGTTTTTCCTCTTCTTTTTGATTGGTTAAATCAGCGCATAATTGTGAGTACATTTATATGATTATTATAATTACAATTCTCTAATATTTTACAATTCCAAATTAGTATTACATAATAGTTTAACAAATGTTTACATTTCGCTACAAACTCAAACTCAATCCGCTCGCTTAACGTGATTTGTTTCATTATCTTTTTCAACGTTTTCCAATACTGAAAACATACGAAAGCGAACACCAAACAACATTTTCGAGGGGGCGGATTCACACTTGTCGCGGGGTACAAGTGCGCCCCAATGTTCTGGCCCACACACTACGGCAATTTCGATTGCCCGCCGCACGTCCCGGCTTAAGCTCGTGCCTTGTCCGAAGCAAATTGCAAATGAAAAAATTGTTTTACAAATTTGTTTGCCAAAGGGTTTACATACATATACACACACATATATATATATATGGCTATAAGTTTAAGAGGGTTTTACTGCGTAGATATTGCATTTTAAGCACTTTTTTTTTAAGTTTCTTAGAAATTTACAGGTGGCCTTTGCATTAATTTTTTGTTTTTCATTTAGATATTATCAAAACTACGTTAAATATTTTGTTCGCTTTAAGCAATCTGCAGGTGGTTCTTTAGAAATCGAAAGAGAGAGGGGGGGGGGGGGGGGAGGGAGAGATATATAGGAATGAGTTAGGATTAAAGCAGTTCATTGCGGTAAACTAAACGTAAAGCTTCTAAGCTGTCAAACATTTGCATTGACTTTAGACTAGATGCAGCATTAAAGCGTTTTCTTTTTAATTCGTATGTTTTTCTTTTTCTTTTTCTTTTTTTGTTTACCTTCTACTCTTCGTATATTGCCGTGCCATTTACATTGTTCATAACTCTTGTGGCTTTTCGTTTCTTTTTTTTAGAGAAGTTCAATTATATAGTTTATCGAACGCATACATATAGAGAATAGATTTGTATTTCTAGAGTTGCATTAACAAATTAATTGTAAACTGCTGAGCGTACGCTTACTTTAAGTCCCACACTACGTTCTATATACTGTACGGTCTTTTTCGTTAACACACACACACATACATATATTATGTATATATTTATATATATTTAGGTATATATGTTTCTTTGTCTTGTATATGTATATGTAATTGCATTTTGTGTTTTCTTCATATGTCTTTGCTTGACTTGCATAATTAATTAAACAATATATCGTAAATTGTTGAAAATTTGTGTATAAACAGCAAATATATATATATGTTTTATACAATATTGTATTATGTATATAGAAATATATATATATGATTTTATATATGTTTGCTTTAGTTGCTCCTTTAAAATGCATATATATGTTTTTTTGTTGTTGTTTTGTTTGTGTTTGGAGTGTGCTGTTCTTTAAACATAGGCTCGACTGTATTCAACATAATATCACTTGGAAATTGAAAGTTTTGTTCGGCAATTAAATTATAAATTAATTAATTGATTAACTAATGATCATATTTATACAATTCGGAAACGTAAAGCTATTTACAAAACATATTTGAACGTAATACCAATTCTGAGCGCCCGCAAAGTATGCCACAAAACTTGTGACACGCCCACTGTTGCCTACTTTTGGCTGCCCGGCGATTATCAAAATAGAATTATAATTAAATACAATACTCAATAAACATTGTTGTCACTACTTAATTATTACGTACGCTTTGCATTTTGAAGTTGTATCTTGTTTTTCTTTTGTTTTTTGTCTGTTGTGTGTTCTTATACTCTTATATTGTGTTCTTTCGCATGCACATTAACATTCGCGATGGAATCCTAGCTATCTATTTGTCAATTGCCAGCTGCCTGTTGGGCCTGCTTCAAGCGCCTGCTTATGCCCAGTCGCTGCAGCCAGCCATAGCCTGCGTCTCAGTAAACCAAAACGGATTCCATCGTAATTGTATCTCATTTGTTCGCGCTGCCCGCGTTCACCGCGCTGCTGGCCTGAATCTGCGATGCCGTCTGCGAGGCCGGCTCCAGTGTGCGTCGCGCCAGGCGGGATCTGTCAAGGTTTGATTAGGCATAATTAGATTGGTTATATATTAATAGGTGGCATCATTTGACTCACTTGATTTGTCCAGCCAACAGCGGATTGATGGCATAGAGCCAGTCGTGCACCTCCTTGTCGCCCAGTGTTTGCAACAGGTAGCCGCGATGTTTGGTAACCACGCTGCATGAATGAAATAGAAATTGATCAGTTATATACATATCAAATATTAACAGGTGTTGTATGGCTTTGCCCAGTCAGATGTGTTTCTTCCAACTGGAGCTAGCAATTGTTCAATCATTGTTGAGTGGACGGTGGAATATTTGAAATCTATGTGGACTTCCACGCAGGTACATGTATTCCTCGGAACAGCTTAAGTAAGTCTCTTAAAGATCCACAAAAGTATGTATATGTAAAGTCGGACGGACGACAGGTCAATTATGTTCCGCTCATACAACCCAAATCCTAACATTTACGGGGGTTCTTCCGAAAATGCGAAGCATGACTTAAATACATATTCATAAAGAACTTTGATATTGTATTAAAAGGTCGATGACTATTTAAAAACATTGTACTTTCTATCTTTTCGGTTTGGACATTGGGACTGACTAATTGTCAAGTCTGGACTTGCATTTATGTTCGCATAGTTTAAGACTTCAGCTCACCTGAAAGTGTTGGGTATTTTGACCATGGCCGCCTGATCCTCGCTGCACTCAACCTGAGCTGTGGCCAGATTCAAGACAGCGCGTTCCACAGGATCCTTCTCCGAGCGATAGATAAAGACATAAGGACGTCGCACAATCTGAGCAAATACATATATATGTATTATTCTACTATTCCTAACTCTTTATAGGTATAAGTACTTACCACCCAGCGCTTCTTCCAGCCGGAACCGCCATGTTCAAGGACATTCAAGATACCCTTGCGTGCCACAACAGGACTAACGCGTATCTCCTCCAGCTCGGGCACATACAAGCGCAAAGGCAGAGCCGGCTGTGTGGCCGGAGCGGGTGCCTCCCAGCCATTTGGCGCATCGGCGCGGTCCGGTGAGCATAATCTGTGGATAGTTCAATAAATTTGAAGTTAGGTTAAGTTTTAGGGACTGTGCAATACGAAAACAAAGTTACCTGTGTCGAATTACAAATTTGTTCTTTCTAATTGTATGTTGAAAAAAAAAAAAAAAACAAACGAAACAAAAACGAAAACAAATATCGAAATTGTTTTTGAGTTTGACAGCAGAATAGTAGGGTGAGAATTTTAATTTGGCGTATGAGTGTTTGTTTTTTTGTGAGTGCATTTAACTGGAAAATAAAGAGCCGCAGCAGGTGCAACAGCAGCTGCTCGTTTGGCTAAAGCCCTTAACCCAGTGCATAGCTTGCATAGATCGCATCAGTTGGCATTTTGAACCCGGTATGTTACGTTTACTGCTGCTTTTTTACTGCGGCGCACTGGCCGTGGTGATGCATCATGATGATCCGGAACCGGATCGCCACAATTACATTTGGAATCCATTTAGCGCTTTCTGTGGCCCCAATGCCACCAGTGTGCGCTGCGGCGGCGTCTGCCCCGAGACCTGCTCCCACAAATCCCGCAGTTGCAGTCACCACTGTGGTGTGCCCTGTGTCTGCAAGGCCGGCTACGTGTTTAGCGTGTCCCTGCTGAAATGCATTCGGCGCAGCGACTGCCCCCCGGGTGAACAGCAGCAGGAGGTGCAAACGCATCGCGTGTTTCAATAAAACAACCTCAAATTCATAGTACTTGAGACTTGCTCAAAATTAATATGGCTCAAGATATAAACTTTGTCCAATATTTTTTCTAATTAAACTAAACGAGGCTTTCCTCTTTCAATGCAATATTAATGGTAGAAATATAACTGAGAAAATGCAATGCATTTCAGTTTTTAAGAGACCTTCGCATTCCTCATAACATGCAGCTGTAAAACGAGCTCAATAGCTCTTAAACCCGTCCTATTCAGGCTTAAATCGCACATCTACTTTAGAGATGGGCACGTGATTTTTTATAAATTCCATTTCTTGTTGCCTTGTGGCTTACGCAGGAAATCACATTTTTGGCCCATAAGCCCATAAGCTAAACATTAATGTTAATGTTTCTATGTAATAAACTATGTGGCCAATTGACGGTGTACAACTAAAGGCTCGAAGAAAGCAAAGATGGGAATGGATAAAGCATGCGTTAAATAATATTACAACTTACTCCATTGAATTGCTGGAGATGCAGCTAACGGTCATGTCTGCGCAGCCCTCATCGCTGGGCGAAACATCAGACTGGGTTTGTGTATCGCTCTGTTCGACCTTGCTGTAACGACCTAAAATGCCGAGACATTTCGTTAAGCGACAGTTCGTGTGTTCTTGCATTTAAGACTTGCCTTGCACCAGTTTCAAGCACTTGAGCATGAGCTCCTGCTCGCGCTGATTGTACTCGCGCTCGGGCATCATCTGCTGCGAATCCTTGACGGGCGTTTGTGGCGACTGTGGTATCAGCATGTGCACGGGCGAGGTGGCCGCACGTGCAGCCAGATTGCAAACATCCTTCTCGGTCTTGGTGGTCGGATTGGGATTGGTGTCCATGCCCAGACGCTCGCGCAGCAGCAACAAATGACGCATGCGGCCCACTTCCTCCAGACGCGTAAGTTTCTCCAGCTCCCATTGATGATCGAAGATCAGCGAGTCGCCGCGTGGCCGCCAGCCGTGCAAATTCTCCTCGCCGCGCACATACGTGGAGCTGGTGTCCAAGACGCGACGCTGCCGACGCTGCACACCTGTCGAATGAAGCATAAGGCGTATTGAGTGGCGGGTTCTACGACTTGTACGCGAGAGCAAGGACGATTACAACTACAATGAGAATTGCTACCTGGACTACCTGCTTCGGATGCTCTGCGCAGCGAGAGCTCGTAGACCCCAGAGAGTCGATTAGCCTCCGGATTGCGATACTGGCCAGAGAACAGATGCTTCAGTGAGCGCGGACCGGTGCGTGCATCGCGTCCATAGATAACCATGCTGAGATCCTTGGTAATAATAGCCGGACGAGCGCAGTTATCCAGCTAAAAAATACATTCTTTATAGGCTGTAAAGCTAGACTAGTATGGAGACAAACCTCCAGATAGGCGCTGAGTGTAATGTAGATAGTCTCGCCACCCTGCGAGACACGATTGAGTAGCGCCGAATTGTGCAGACTAGAGTCCCATGCGGCCTCAAAGCGATAGAAGGAGCGATCATCGCCAGGCACCTCCAAAACCTCGCCCGGAAACAGGCCCAGCGACAAAACGCAGGCGTCCTCATCCTGCTCATCCGAAGACTCGGGCGTATTGCGTATGCGTCCAACCACCAGCTCATTAATGTCCTTCCACTTCACCTCTGGCGTCGGCTCGTGCACAATAGTGATGCGTATGCGTCGCTGTATGCCCTGATGCAGCAAGAACAGCCCGCGGCAGGGAAGATCATCGCTGTGCTCAACCACCTGGGATAAGACGTTAAGATCACGTTAATTACAAGTAAAAAGGTAATGAGAATGATCAGATTTCATGGCATTATATACACTTACCGATGGCACGTACTCCCCATTGGGTGCTAGCTCACAGATCTCGAACCACACCAGCACATCATGCTTCGCCAAGACCGTGGATGATGGCGGACAGGGCAGCGGTCCAAATTTGGGACTGCGCACTGGCTGACTTATGGGTATGCTTGGTGGCAGCATGCGTCTTGGTGGTGGACGAGAAACGAACTCCTGCTTGGCATCCTTGTGCAGCGGATGTGTCTGATAATGGCCAAAGATCTTGAACATGATGGGCTGTGTCTTCAAATACTCAATAAAAGATTTGGTAACGGGCACAGTTATCTATAAGGAAATTCAACATTGTACAGAGAATACATTAAGAGCTCAGCCGGAATACGCACATTTTGCACATGGTAAAAACCGAGCGGAGCGCCCGAGGCGGAGTTCTTGACCGGCTCCGTGGAGAAGGCTTCCTCATGGCGATGCAAAAAGCTGTGGGGATGAACAAAAGCTTCAGCAAAAGTGCGATCATTTTTGGTTAAAGGCAACCCACTTGAACTGACAAAAGATGTCTGCATACTCTGCGCCGATGCCCGTGGCCTGGAGCACGGTCACACGGAAGGTGAACTCCTTGCCCACCTGCAAATGCTCGCCCGGCTCCTCGGCATGCTCCTGGTACTCTGAGGCTGAATTGGAATCAATGCCACGACCAGAATCGGCATCCTCTAGTTCTACAGAGAGCGAAGATTGTTGAGAAAGCAGTTTTGAGTGCAAGTTCTAGACGACTTACCCTCCAGTTTGCTGTCCAGTCCTCCATTGTCTATGTAACGCTGCACATCGTCCTTTTCGTTAAGCGCACGGTACTTGGGCTTGGCATCATCCTCGTTGAAGACCAGGCGAGCTGACTGCTTGACCCCGTTGTTGAAATCAATGGACTCTTCATCGAGCACCGGCTGCACGGCAATGCGTAGATAGCCCCGGACATCGCCACGTTCATTGACAATGGCCACCTTATGGACCAGGGGCACCGGATAGAGCAGGTTGCTCAGATAGATGAAAGAGCGACCGACCATGCGGAACCAAGGAAAGCGATCATAGAAGGGATCACCGCCAGTTAAACTCTCCACATTGTAGTCCGGAGAAGTGGGACTCAGCTCCGCCTCGTTGTGATACATTTCGCGCATTAGTTCCAAACGTTGTCTGGAATGGATGGAAAGCATGAAAATGGATGAGGTTAAGTACCGCTTGGAAAGGTCAAGAAATACACAGAAAACAGTGCGCATAGCCTAAAGCAGACATAAAGAAGCCTAGTGAAACAGCAAATAATAATAAAAAAAACTACTTGCACTAAACGAAAGCCATACGAAGAATTGCAAAGGAAAAGCTTAAGCAAAGGATAAGGCATGCATAGAGGGTGACAAAAGCAACTACAATACATACAAATGAAAAACCTCGAATGGAAAGCAAACCTAGAAGGTATCAGATTGGCCAATGTCAAACGCGTTGGATACGCCTGACGCAGCTGAGGCTTCAACTCGGGCTGCTCCACATGCTGCTCGAACTGGGCCTGGGACTGAATTGGAGGCGGAGCTGGATGCCTTGACAACTCCATCCCAGTCGCTCCACTGGCGTACGCCTCAATGCTGGACGTATCGAAGAGCATAGACGAAGGCGGACTCTCGACATTGTAAACTTGACGCATCAATTCGAGGCGATAGCTTTTGGGAGTTGATGGGTAAACATGGTTTGATGTAAAGTTGGAACAAGGGTATCAACATGATTCGTTTGGGATAGTAAGAGAACCAATAAAAAAAAAGGAGTACAAATCAGCATTTGTTAAAGCCGAAACTAGCTTTGTGCTCAGTGTGTGTGACAATGGCGATGAGTTTTCTTTGTAGAGCGTAAATGGTGGCGGTGAATTTAGCCAACGTTTTGTTGTGGCTTTTCTTTAATTCAACTTTTAAATGTCAAGTTAAGCAGTTCTAGAGCTTTACGGAAACTAGAATTCAAGAGCTACAACCACCATGCACGTACCATTAAGGAAAAAAAAAAACCAAAACCAAAATACAAGTTACCAAACTTAATAGAGTGAAGTTTTTTTTAAGACGAAAGAGAACAGTCGGCTTCGGGCTGGCCGAAGTTTTTACAGCCTTGCATTAAGTTGAAACTACGTTTAGCTAATCTGACTATATACCTGCTCTCAAACCCAAAGAAGCTACAACTTTATATATTTAAGATCTTGACCTAACTGACTTGTAATTTCTTACTATAACTTCAAAGTGAGAACTGGCGAGCGGAAGAAAACATTGATTGAGTGAAAAACATCTAATAGAATGCAGCTAGTAAGGGAGCTTCGTAAGCGGGATAGCCGAAAGGTCGCCGGTTCGAATTCAAATAATATATTAAACAATTCTTTATATATAATCTCAATTTTTGAATAGTTGTTCCCATAAGATATATAATTTATGACAATCGGATAATTAACAAATTGCTGCAAATGTTCTAGGTTGTAATATCTAAAACCCCCAACAAGAGTTCTACATAGGTTGCTCCCATGACATCTATATCTTTTACTTTCAAAATAATACGTTAAGGAATTTGCAACGTTAAGGAATTTTTCTCCGCCTCTCTTTCAAACTCATAACACCCTCTGCAAGGACATAACAAAAGTGCAAAAAGTAGAAATGAATGTGAGCAACTAAAACTTGCTGGACCCAAGTTCTTGGGGCGTCATCCTTACCGTAGTTTCTCCAGCGACCAATAATGTGTAGCCCCATTTTTGGTATCGGTAACCTCAACGGCGACCAGGGTCTTGGAAACTGGTGGAGCGCCATATTCATCCTCCGACTGCATGGGCGTAACGCTGGAGGCCAGCTCCGGTGGCAGCGGTGAGTACAAGGTGTCGGTCAATAGGGTGAACTGGAATTGAACCTGAGAGAGAGACAGTGAAAAGGAACCGTGTGTGACGTAACGCAACTTATTCAACTTGTTTAACTGTCCCACCTTCTTCTTTAGCTCCACCGAAATAGCATTAGCCTCCTTGAGGAATATGGCATTGCCCCAGAGATCATCGCGCAATGATGTGAACTGATGGTAGCGCCATTTGCGGAAGGCCCAAGCGGCTAGCCCAGCCTCGCGTGCCGTCCAGCACGACTCGTACATCGGATTGGCTGTAAGGGTTTGAATAGAGGAAGAATTTGACATACTTATCTATTAACTCTTTGCTTTAACTTACTGTAGACATCCTCCTCCTGATGGAAGTCCTCTGGCGAGTAGCTGCTGTACATGGACATAGTCATTGACTGCTCCTCCACCTGCTTCTGCAGGGCATCGATGCGCGCCTCGTAGGATTTGCGTTGCTCTTCGAACTGTTGATCGGCCTGGAGCTTTTCGCGCTTGTACTGCTCCTCCAGATTGTCGAGACGCTTCTTCATCTCGGCCTTCAGATCGATGCCCTGTTTCTCTAGGAGCTCGCACTGTGCGAAATTCCAATCAACTTGCTGAGTATCCGCCTTCTCCACCTCATTCTCTGCCTCGTTCTCGGTTATCTTTTCGCGCAGCTCACGCGCCTGCTCCGGATTGGTAAAGCGGAACACGTGATTCTTGCCCAGAATCACGCGAGAGCCTGTCTTCAGCACCTCGGGTTCGACGAGCTTGCGGCCATTGATAAAGATGATGGCATCCTTGTGGGGCAAGAGGGTGACAGTGCTGTTGCGATTCTCAAAGGTGCAGTGCTCCTTGAGGATGTGCGAGCCGGACAACTGTATGTCCTGTGGCACATTGGCCTCGTGTGTGCCCAGACGTGTGAGACCGTCCTTGATGTAGTAGAGCAGACATTCCGACAGATTGGGATCCTCGTTCAGGTTGACCAGATGTGGTGTCTTTTTGGGCGAGAAAACGCCCACTGTGATGCCATCCTCTTTGACAGCCACGCCCATCTCGGCAAAGACCGCCTCACGCTGCAGGCGTATCTCCTCGGTGCGCTTCAATTTCTCCTCCCAGGTCTCATTGAGTTCTAGTTGAGATTGGGCAATCAGGCAACTGCATCTATGGATTGCCTCTAGGCGAGCTTACCTGCAATCAGCTTCTCGCTGGCCTGCAATTGATCCACGGCCATCTCCGTGGTGGAACCATTGCGATTACGTGATCCCTTGGTCGGCGACTTAATCACCGAAGACTTGTTCAGTTCATCCTCTGCAAGAGTGGATGAGAAATTTAGCAGGACATGATGGGGATTGGCTGTTGCCACAAGCGCAGTGATAAAAGCGTGCAGAGATAAGTTAGGGTATATGGTTAAGTATATTGAATATGTGGGTACAAAGCGTGGCCGATTCGTTTTGGTGACTCTTGGAATGATTAACTCTGGCGTGTCCACGTCTAGCCCTTGAGCAGTGCGGACTGCAAGGAGTACTCTGTGCCAATCTTTTGCACTCGGCAACACAAACGTAACTGCAGTGGGAGACGGGAATCGTTAAGATGCAGACGCAATTTTGCAAGATCAGCTGGGATCACAGTTATTTCTCATAATCAAGAAACTAGTCCAATCTTCCACTGTATATCAACTCGTTTCGAATAGAACGCAACATAAATAGGACTTGAACATTGATAATCATAGGTAAAAGAGTTTGTATATTGTTGTATATTTATATGGTATAAGGCATACGTCCTGAAGCGAATTTATGTTTACAGAAGCGCTGAAGTTACAAACACTTTACACATACACACACAAGTTTCTTGGCTAGACACACATATGGGCACTTCCATTGAAGTTTCTAATATTTCCGAGAATTAGTTATTACAATGCCACAATTATAAGTAGCAAATGCTTTAAAAAACTTGACCACATTCCGGGCTGGTCTGCGTCTGGAAATGCCCATTTGTTTCGTAGCGTATAGTATATAGGGTATGTGACATATTGTCATATTGCGTATTTTGTGTAAGCCTTTTGATATGTATTTTAGTTTTTAGTTTAGCTCAGAGTTGTGGGCTTTACTTACTATTCGCATCGCGTTTCTCACACACCACTTTGCCATCGGGTCCTAAATGAAATAGGGTTTGTTTTTGGGGTTTTATGTACTCAAGCATAAGTCTAGACTAGGACTAGGACTACGACTAACTTAATGTTTTCTGCAGTTTTTTTTTTTTTTTTTTAAGTATTGCCTTTGATTTCCGGGGGCTTAGGTTTAAGCTTAGTCAATTCCCTATATACTATAACTCCATAAATTGAGCTGCACTTACCCTCCTGCACCTCAATGCCCTCGGCCTTGAGCAGATCGCGCAGTTTTTGTATCTCCTCTTTGAGCTCGCGTATAAGCTTGGCGTTGGCATCCTCATTGACCACAGCCTTGCACACAATTTGCTTGGCACGATCCGCATAGCTAAAGGAATTCAACTCAAGGATTAGTCAATGCAGCTTGAGCTCAATCGTAAACCTACCGTAGGGTGCTGAGAGTTTCATCGTAGTTGATGTCAGCTGGCGATATGGCAGCTATCATGGCTGTCTTGGAGTTGCCGCCCAGATTCTCGCGCAGCAACCAGGTCAAAGCGGAGTCGCGATAAGGTATAAAGTCCGCCTTCTTTGCGTTCTTCTTCTTGGATGCCTGATGTTAAGGAGGAGTTAGAGCAATTCAAGGACTAAGGTGCATAGAAATACTTACAGACTGACCGTTGTAAGGGTGGCAGGAAAAAGTGAAATCAGTTAGAAAATCTCTTTAGAAGAAATAGAAAACTTTTATACTTACCACCTCCGCCAGGGCGGATATGACTTTGCCTAAGGTAGTCAAGGATTTGTTTATGTTGGCGCCCTCCTTCAAGCGAGTGCCTTTAGCGCCTGTGGAGTCAGCACGCTCCGAGCCGGCCAAATCGACCAAACTAATCTTGGAGACCTTCTCTGTGATCAAATCTGTCATGGTATCATGGCGACGTTGTGTAAAGAAAATGGTGAAGACCGCGTGGGAACGCGAGCTTGTCTCGTTCATGTTGGTGGCGGCCACAGTACTAAGGAATACAGGAGACGCAATAATGAAGCAAGACGGACAGATTAGCAAACAACTTTAGGTTGACCTACCGCGCCTTGTTGCCCTCATCGATGAGGTCGTGAATGTCCTGGTAGTCGGTGACAGCCAACTTGGATAGATCCTCCACATAAGGACCCAGCAGTGGATGTTCGCGCACACGCAAATTGCCCTTGTTCTTGGGATTCAGCAGATCCCGCACGCGTTCGCAATAGATTTCCATGTAGGAGACCTCCACGGAATACTTGAGCTCATCGGTTTCGGTTTCTTGTATGCGACCGAAGAGATCCTTGCATATCATTGGTATAATGCCCTCCTGTTGCTCCTCCTGGCGGCCCATCATGGTGTAGGATTTACCAGCGCCTGTCTGCCCATAGGCAAAGATGCACACATTGTAGCCATCGAAGGAATGCTGCAGCATCTCCTCGCCAATGTCCTTGTAGACCATCGATTGTGTGGAGAAGTCCGAATCGCGGGGCTAGAGCGGAAGTGGGATTAGTTAATATGGTGACAGTTTAGTTATCCGGATCTAGTCTTACATCATGGGACCAGTAGGAGTAATCGAAATTGAAGCGCTTGATGGACTCGCTTGTGTTGGGCGGCACTTTCGGATTGGTAATGGCTGTAAAAATAGAGGCTTAGAGGTTTACTTTAAACGCAATTTCTAGCTGCATTACCCGTTGTGGCGCCGCTCATCTCGATGATGCATTTGGACTCCCGTGCAATCTCCCGCGAGTTGAACGGGCGCACCCGCACCGCTACCTTAACCGACGACATATTCTAGTGGCCCGCGTCGAGCGGCAGCTGCTTGGCTTGTCTTAGGTTGCGGTTAACTGAAGTGGAAGAGGCGGAGGCAAATGGGTTAAAACTTGGCAAGGCATGTTATGCGAGCCTGGCAATTGGCCCGTAAATAAGCCACAAGTCGCAAGCGCAGCGTCATTTTATAATTGGCCCAGCTGTGTCTGGCTCTCTGTCTGCTTTTTTGCCTGTTTGTGTGTCTGTGTCTCTGTGTGTGTGTGTGCAGTGTCCGGGCGCCTGTTGTGTCTGTGTGAGCTGTGACTCATGCAGCCCGCTGGGGGTTTGAATCAAATTTACATGATTGCAGTGGGGTTAAGCAGTCGATACCCAGCCGCAGCATGTGGCATGTTTGAAAGGCAAATAGTTATCGCATTCCAGAACAAATTATTTGATGATATATAATTACAAAAGCTTTCTATTTGGAGCCATAAAAAAGTGTATTGCATACCTAGCGGCATACACCACCAGCGATATGCATTTATGTATGTACGTTTTTTTCATTAAAGTTGAAAGCAATTACATTTAAGTGAAAGGAAAAATACAGTTCTGAATGTTTAACCTATTTTTTTTTTATTATCATTGTCAGTATAGGAGTAGTTATAGACAATCCACAATTAAGAGTCGGGAGTGCCCGACAAGGTGATACTCTGAAGCGAGGATGGCAAAAGCTAGGAAATTAACGATATGACTTGAATTGAATATACTTACTATTCTAGAAGTTACTTGTAAAATCTAAGAGATTTGCTCAAAAAACAGTATTTAGATATTGGAGTTTAGCCATTGCTTGTAAACGGGATAAGTTATCGAATATTGGAAACAAATTCGCACTACGAAGGAACTAGGAGGACCTGCGTACAAAATGTCAAGTCTTATGTTGTTATAGCTCTTATACATACAGACAGACGGACAGACAGACAGTCGAACATGGCTAGATGGACTCTACTATTGATTCTGATCAAGAATATATATACTTTATGGAGCTGATTTCTTCTGCCTGTTACATACATTTGCACAAAAACATTACACCCTTTTTAAACTATTTTCAATGGGTTCACGGTATAATAATATCAAATATATTTGACAATATATAATTATACTTTATTTTCCTTAAAAATGTATTGATTGAGCAGCAGATTGAGTAGTGGACACATTGGGCATCAAGTTTAGGTTTCGAACCTCCGAGAAGGCAAAAAATAAAATTTATGATTAAAATTAGAACGTTTTATAACGTTCAACTTTTGCGACTTCTTAAAATATATAGAATTATACAAACAACACATAAGTGTTTGACAAATTCATTATTTTAATGATAATTCATTTATTTTCAATTTATAAAAATCTTAAATATTTGACTTTACGCCAAATAGCTTTGTTCTTAGGCAAAAGAATTTTTTTTATTTCCTGCTTTGTCGCCTTTATGTAAATAGTTTGGTATAACCTGCTACCCTGCTGACTTATAGTTATGCTGGCTGCCTTCCGCACACCCCACACACACACACACACACACATGTGCACGAGTACATACTAGAAAAAATTCCACAATCCACACTTCCAATAAAAGCGCAGCCGAGTGTCGGGCACTCGAATGAGTCATCAGCAAAAAGAAAACCCCCCCTTACACTATCCGAAATCGTGTGTTTAAGAAAGGCCAATAAAAATAAATGTTTGAATGCATTTAAAATTCAAGATATTGTTACCTTTGAATCTGGATTGGAGCCAAAGAAATGCTGGCTAACACTTTTATTTTGAACTAGGCTAAAAAGTTCTTGGACTTGTTCATATTATGAGGAATTTGTATTTTAACTCGATTTAATTTTAATTCAGCTCGAATGCATTTATATTATTTATTTTCCATTTGTTGGATATCTTATTTCGTTTTATTTAGAGTACATTTTCAATTCTTGATGCGGCACAGTTTTTCACACGACCGACGAAATTCATTAACTCGCGCACAGTGAAGTCCTAGAATGTTGAGACACAGGACAAGGGAAAACTTTAAATATTTCCAATAAGTTAGCCTAGAAGCACGAATGATGCGCGTTGCGCAGCTGTGAGAAATTCTTGCTCAAGCTCACACAGTCTCTCTCTCTCTCTCTCTGTCTCTCTCTCAAATTCTCTCTTTCTCTTGCTCTTGGGTTTCTCTCTGTTTACCTGACGCACAGACTTTTGTTTATATTTTTGCTGAAGCTGTCGATGCAAAAATGCAACAGCCTGCGCTTAAGTCTGGGCAAAAGTCTACAAAGAGAACATTGCGCAGACGCCAACGAAAAGATAGATAGATGGAGAAACAGGGAGAGAGAGAGCCAGTGAAAGTCAGTGAGAGTGAGCAGGAACATTGGCAAAATATTTGTGGTATGTTTATAATTCTTTATATGCTGTTATGCTTGCTGACGCGATTGGAATGTGCTGGATATTAAAATTATATTAATAAATAAAATGCAAAACAAGGCACAAAATACTATCAATTTAATTATGGAATATATCTCTGTTCATAGACTAGTTATTAGCTGTATAAATTTTACGCGTAACCTTCTAGACTTATGTTCCTTTTTTTTTATTTTTTTAAAAGTCTGCAGCTACAAAATTCCCTGCAAGTCAGTCATATTTTCAGTTAGTTCTTGAACCTTAGGTTGAGTCCTTCAGACACGTACAGCAACAAAATAAATCCTTCACATTTCACTTCTTTATTGCGGTGCGTCATGTTGTGTCTCTTTTATGGTTTCAAGCACCGTGACCATTATATGCCACACAGAAACACACACTCACACTCACACACACACTACAAGTTTTCCCTTAGCATATCCTTCGCTTGGGTCGTCTTGACCTTTATTAATAAATTTCCATGTTGCCTTCGTCATGGCTAACAAAAAAAAAACTCTACCATGGAAAACTCTACACAAAGCTAGGTGCATTAATTTCGAGGCTACTGTAGAAAAAATATGGCAGAAAAAAATAAAATTTTATAAAATATTTTAAGAAAAATTATATAAAATTAAGGGAAATAATGAAAAATGATTTGGTGGACATTTGAATTTTGAAATGTTTCTTTGGCGAATCGATGAAAATTTTGCAAAATATTTTTTTGGATATTTTTGAAGCAATTACCAATTGAATTTGGGTGGGCAAAACACAATAAAAAACGACAAAAACTCAAAATAATTTCGGCTTGAAGATAAACTGCTCTGGTTGTTGTAGTAAATCCTTCTCCCGTTGTTGTTGCTGTTGTTGTTGTTGTTGTGGCTGGTGCTCATCATCGAATGTGAAATTAAATATTATAAGACTATCCATCATAGATCTTTTCGAGGAGGTGGGAAATATGATCGATAGCACCAAAACTATTGTCAGCAATAAAGCAAAAAACAATAAATAACCAAAACCGCACATTCGCGTTTAAGTTTTCGCAACGTTCTTCAGTTATATATATATTAAGATATATACATATATATATATACTATAGATATAATATATGTATGTATAAGGCTTTCTTCTGTATAACAGCGAAAATTGTGCACACAGCTTAGCAGCTTTTTTTCAGGACAACTGCCTGGTATTCAAGTATTTTGCAAGTATTTTAATTTGTTGTTACGTTTTTATTTTTTTCTCTTTTGGTTACAATTTGTTAACACATTTTTTGTGGCTTTTTTTGGTTTTCTGCACAAAATCGATGGCCAATCGAGGCGTAGACCGATAAACGCGCGCGCTTCAAACAAATGTGAACTGCATTCGTTGGGGTTAGACGACGCAGTGAGCCGAGCTGCCAGGCAACCGAGCTGGACAAGGCAGCCTCAGCAGCCAGCGACCAGCCCTCAGCTGAGGCGCATGCGCTGCTCGGGGGTTGTTGGGCGGCGGTACCACTCCCCCAAGCATTGGCATGACAGCTATGCTAAAAATTTCATCAAGCGTCCAGCGCAATAATAACAAAATGCGTAGCCTGTCAAAAAGTAGCGCATAATGAATTTCATTTTAGTCGCCTGCCTCTTAGCGCAACTGTAACACCTTTTTTGGCCGCCAGTGTAGACAGCCCACACTGCGCAGTTAATAGTACGAGTAGCTGAAAAATCTTATTATGTCGCTGCCGGCGAATGACGTAAAATAGGAAATTTCTATTGATTTATCATCAATGTCGGATATCACGAGCCAGCTTGACGCAGCACGGATCCGCTTTTTATGCTCGTCTTTGCATTGTCTCCAACGTAATTGCTTTGACATTGAAAATGTGGGCGATAAAGCGACAGTTAATGGTTAATGTTATTAACAAAGTCTACCACAGCAGCAACTGCCTATTGACAGTGGCCAAGAACAGTTGGGCTCGGTGTTAGCCAAAAGGCTCAACGCGATTTTGAATTGAACCAGTGTGAAACCAGAATAAAAGTGTGTTGCCTGCGTGGCTAGGCATCCGACTGGCAAACAGCTGGACGCTGGTTCAAATTTATTTTTATTTTGTATATATATAGGTAAATGTGCAAGAAACACGGTTAGGCTTTTTAACATTTCATAACTAGCTTTCAAGAGAGACTCAGCTATATCGAATCGAACAGAAAGAAAACTCTGCAAAGTATGCTTTAAGTTTTCTGCATTTTCACACTGCGAAAACGTCATACACAGAAAATGTCAGCGACGACGCATCGAAAAACCGCGTCGCCCACGCACTGAAAAACGCTTTTCACATACATCCCAGAATTGTGCGTGGGTGTGCGTGTGTGAAGTGCGTGGTAGGGGTAGGGGTTGCTCGGCAAGGTGGAAATTCTATTGCTGCGCAGTAAAAACTGCAACACGCGAATGGCGGACGGCAGCCAACCCAAATAATATCGAACGAATTTCTCAGTAGAGAACAGTAGTAGGGGGTGCACGTGGGCGGGTCGTTGACGTATATAAAAATTTTGTGTGTGTGTGTTTTTTTTTTGGAGTTTGCCATTGACTTGAGGCACATTCGCATGCCCAAAGCAAGGAGGTGCACACACTGTGTGCGTCAATGTCAATGACAGTTCATGGACTGATTGGGTATACACAGGGCAAAGGACACAGATTTTGTGGCATCATTCTGGCTGACAGTTCGTAGACTTTGAACCATTAAAATGGCGTGCTTAAAACTAGTATGTGCCCGACTACAGTTTACCCTCTATCCAGCTTCGAGCTGCCCTTAGCTATTCTCACATTTAAACCAAGTTTTGTACAAAGACACTCTTAATTTTTATTTTGTTTTCAATAACTGGAGAGCTACTGATTCACTCGATTTCAAATTTTCCGTGTTAAAGTATGGCTTCCAATTAAGTGCATGTACTAATTTTGGGCGCAATTGGACAAGGGGGTTGTTGTCAAATTGAAATAAACCTGAGCTGCAAGTAAATTTTTGTTGTAATTTTAAAATTCTACGAGACTGAGACGTAGAATAGAAAGATTTCGAATGCAAAGGGGATTTCATCCAATTAATCTCTCAGATCGGTTAAAGAACCTCTTTTAATTATGCCAGACCTAACTGTAGAATAATTTGTTGTGTATTTCTTCATTTCATTTCAATTTAAATTGTTTTTCTTTATTAAAAGACAAATTGAAAACACAACAAATTCAGGAACATACGAGACTGATTCAAATACCCAGAATTGAAAATGGATACATAAGGTTGTCCGAAAAAATATATAATAAGTAAATATGATTATCGAATGGTTTCTATGCCATTAGAACGGGCTATAACGCATAGGCCAAGAGTATATACCAATATATATAAGTTCGCAGTCGCCGCCTCTTGCCTGTGCTATATACATTTGCACAGCTTCAATCTACCCAATAATATCATATTTTTAATGAGTATATAATATAATGAGTCTAACAAATTTGTTTGTAATTGCAAAGCACAGCTCAGGGCGTATTTACAATTCAATTCTGTTTTTAAATTGAGACTCGCAGGCAATTCACTCAATGTGAAGTGTGCGCAGACAGGCTCTTAATTAAGCTCAAATCAAAAATATACATATATATATATATAAATATATGTATACATAGCTGCATATATATATAGAGAAAATGTATATATATATAGAGTTTGCCTTCAAGTCGTGCACAGCAAGCGGCAATGGCGACGTCTGTGTCGTCCATTAAGTCAGCTACATAAAACAAATGCGATTTTCTTATTTAAATTAACGCAAGCAGCAAACAGCGACTGTGCCCACGCAAAAATAACACATACACACACACACACACACGCACACACACATACATGCACAGCACAGTTCACAGTTCGAAGCTCGCACAGCAAAAAGCGGATGACTCATGCAAAGAGTCCTCAAAACACACACACACGCGCATGTTCGTGCCAAGTTTGTTGTGCCAGTGTGTGTGTGTGTGTGTTTGTGTGTGTGTATATGCTTGTTGTTGCTACAATTGCTTCTTGAACTGGCACCTACCACAGTCAGCAGGAGCCGCAGTCAAACTTGGTGAATCATCCTTTTTAGAGGCGCGCGCGTTTCCTGCCCGCCAGTCCCCTCCCGCAACCCATCCTCATACACACATACACACACAAACTACTCCACCCTACACGGCTTTTATGTGGCAAACAAGCCACTGACGTCGAGCAAATACACAAAGAAATAACATTTATAGAAGCCACAACTTTCAAGTTCAACTATGAAATCTTAATTTAAGCTCTTTTCTTTACTTAAACTTTGTTTAAATATGTTAGATAAAATGCTGCAAAAATGCAAAAACAATAAGAAGCTTGAGCAAAATCTATGAAATTGATTTTTCTTTAAACGAACAACAAATTTTAAATATGAGCTTAATTTATGTTGTTCATTGAATAAGAGTAAAATTAAAAATATGACTAATTTAAGAGAGAAAAAAATAAAAACTTAATAAGACAAATTGAAAAATAATATTATGATAAAAATAATTATTGGCTGTCATCATTTAAGAACACTAAATTTGACCAGAATAATTCTAAAGGGCTTTTTCTCGAATCGATCTACAAGGAAGGTAAGTATTAGCTGCAATTTGATATGTGGAGGACAATCGGCACTCACCGGTCGAAAGTCGACAGAGTATATAATAAAAAAAATTTTTTAAATATTTAGAAAATAAATAAAAAGCAAAATAAATGTTGATCATTTTTGTTACTGCTTAGACACTGGATATCAAATCATATGTCTGAAAGAAACTATTGAGTAGTTTTTATTCTTACCAAATATTTGATTAACTTTTGAAGCTTCAGACTCTTTTCTCTTAGTGTGGGCAGCTGCCATACACAATATTTTGAGCCTCAACTGTGTTGCTTGTTTTTTTTTTTTTTCATAATCAACTTATTATTTCAAGGTCTGCTTAGGAATTTAGTTTTTTTTTGTCATTTGTTAAACACGAATACCCCTAATGCTTGAATTGCCAGGAATGTTGTAACTTTCGGTGCCGCGTTGTCGCGCAGATTGCGTGTATGTGTGTGCATGTGAGTGTGTGTGTCTGTGTGTGAGTGTGTGTGCTAGCATAGTTATAGGCGCGCGTGTCCCGCCTATAGACGTATGTAGGTGACTAAGAGTCGGCCACGCCTTATTGCCCAGTTGCCATAAAATGCATGTGGCAACATTCGCCGTGCTGCTGCAAGGTGGCAGCTGCAGCCTCAACTGCAATTTGAGAGCAGCCCCAGCCAAATTGCCAACAGCTCCAAGTGGAAGGGGGGAACACTTAAAAGTGCTCCCACATAAATCATGCGGCGAGGCATCCCACGAAAAGGAATAAAATATTGCGGGCCCAAAAACCGCACTGTGGTCTTGGGGCTAATACAATTCAGCAATATTTAAAACAAAGTGCCGAGCGAAAAGTGTCCGCCAGGAAGCCATTTTACGGTCGTGCGGTGCATTAAGTGCACGGCCAGGTGAACCGAAGCCCGAGCAACTGCGTGCGGTTTTCCCGCGAATCGCGTCCCTTGCCCCTGACCGAACAACTTTTATTATATTTTTTAGCGGAAATTTATGTTTATTGCTTGGCTGCCACATTTTTACCCTTAAAAAAGTGGCTTGGGTTAGCACAAGCTTGTCATTACGTTTGGCACTTAGAAAAAGTTTAAAAAGCTAAAAAAAAGTTGTGTGAGCACCTGAATTTACCACTTCCAAATAATGTGAATTGCAACTACTTAAGACTTCAATTTCTGCTTTCCAAATACTGTAAAACGCAAACCCTTGAAATATTTCTTAATTGTTGAACACATTAATAACGGTAGAAACAGTTCGGTGTGTGTTGTAAAACGCTTTTCGTTCCCTGTGATTTTCCCTTTTCTGTGTTGAAAACAAATTTTTAGTATATTTTTATTTATTCATGCAGTTTTGTGGACTGCATAAAATGTGGACAAGGAACTTATTTTAAATACGAAAAAAACTCAAGGTTGAAGTCAGGCAGCCGAAAAGCAATGCATGAAAAACTAG